TGGAGAGGGTTCACAGCGTCAAATACCTCGGCGTCCACATCTCTGACCGCATCACCTGGTCAGAGAACATCACCACCATCATCAAGAAGGCCCGGCAAAGGTTACACTTCCTGAGAATCCTCAGAAGGTATAACCTCAACTCTGATCTGCTGCTGGCCTTCTACCGCTCCTCCATCGAGAGCTTGCTGACCTACTGCATCATAGTATGGTTCGGCAGCTCCACCGCTGCCGACAGGGAGAGGCTGCAGAGGGTGATAAAGGCGGCGCAGAGGATTATCGGTCGCCCTCTCCCCTCCCTGGCAGACATTTACTCCACCCGGTGCCTCAGCAGAGCCAGGGCCATCTCCAAGGACAGCTCCCACCCTGGCTCCACCCTGTTTGACCTGTTGCCCTCTGGAAGGCGCTACAGGCAAATGAGGATCAGGACAAACAGACTCAAGAACAGTTTCTTCCCCCGAGCCATTGCCGCCCTCAACTCCGACCTGCACTGACGGACACTTTTCACCTGGTTTGCATTATTCCCCAAGCCATTGCCCCCCCTCAACTCCGACCTGCACTGTCGGTCACTTTACACCTGTTTTGCACTATCCCCCCCCCCACAATCTGTGCCAGTACTGTTTTACATTTCCTTTTCACTGTTTACATTTCCTTTTCACTGTTTACATTTCCTTTTAATATATTTATATATATTTTTTGTAACTGTTTACATTTCCTTTCCTTTTAATATATCTATATATTTTTTATATATTTTTATTTTATTTTTATTTCACGGTAGCTGTTATGGAAGTCCCAAATCTCATTGTATTTGTCACAGAATATAATGACAATAAAGGCTTTTTGACTTTGACTTTTGACTAATCATATAAATACATGTCCAACATTAATGCTTTAACAACACATTTAAGTAACAGTTTTACCAAATATGTGTTTAGATATCTGTGATACTTTTTTTTAACCTATAACTTAAAAAAAAAAATTCAAGTTTTTAAGGATGCCTTAAAATTTAGATAAGACGCTACAAAATATTTTTACACGTTCAAGATTACGACTTTCGACCCGTTTGTCCCTCCCAGTTTGCCGTAGGAAGCGATATCATTGACTAGCGGAAGTGAGGTCGTCCTTTTCCCCGCAGACTCCAACATGGTGAGCTGTCTTTCTTCATGATTCTGCCGTCTAGCAATCTCTAAACATCCCCTTCTCTCGTTACATTATCAAACAATCGTGTGTTTTTCCGTTGAATAAAACATATAAACTAATGTTAAATTTGTAAATTGTAAGACACGATGGTGATTTTTTACTCTTAAAAGATGATTTGAAAATTCCTATCTAACCCACTGCCTGCTAGCTTAGCATAACCAGGGAAACCGTTATGCTGCTTTAATGTGTGTGTTTCCCTGCATATGGCTGAATTCAATGCTCTATAAAATAAGTAGAGTCTAATGTTTTGTCAGAATCGTGAGCAATTTAGTTGAAAAGTGTTTAACGTTAGTGTGGTGAGGCCGCTACAGGCTAGTAACTAGCATTCATTCAGCGTTAGCACAGCAAGCTAACACGGCCGGGCTAATGTAGCATCACGAAGCGTGCTGTTAGGAGTTTGACCGCCCTGAATATGAGCAAAAAATGTTATAATTAGCTTCTTATTCCAGTCCAGACGGGTTTATTCCCCAAGTTTTGACTGTCTGTCATACCCTTTCCAGGCAAGAGGACCGAAGAAGCACCTGAAGCGCGTTGCAGCGCCGAAGCACTGGATGCTGGACAAGCTCACCGGAGTCTTTGTAAGTATCTGCTTCTTTATATCTCTGGTTTAGGTTTACGACCTTATACATGTTAAGGATCTGATGTTCTGTATGCTGCACTCATAGACGTGTTGTCTTTTAGTTCACTTGACAGCTGCCATGCAAAGGTTAGAAATCAATGTAGCGCATTGAGTTAACATCCCTGTTTTCTCCTCATTTCAGGCTCCTCGTCCCTCCACCGGTCCCCACAAGCTGAGGGAGTGCCTGCCCCTCATCATCTTCCTGAGGAACCGCCTGAAGTACGCCCTTACAGGCGATGAAGTGAAGAAGATCTGCATGCAGAGGTTCATCAAGATTGACGGCAAAGTCCGCACTGATGTCACCTACCCTGCTGGGTTCATGGGTGAGTGCCTGGAGTTTTCTGCTCCCCTCTGTTGTGCTTCTGTCCAGTTTATCTTCGGTCTCATCTTTGTGATATGAAATGGGGTTTTTAACTAGTTAGGCTAATTGTTACAAATGGAGCATTGATGAATTTGTGGTTTTGATCAGCAATGAGCTGAAACTAAACAACCTAAATCCTCTAAGAAGTTCTGAGCTCCAGTTAAAGTGATTATCAGGTGAAATATATTTTAGATTAAAGCTGCTCCCCTTTCAACCTTTGGACCATTGCTTTGGAAGAATGTCTACAATAGGGATGGATGGATGTTTTTTTCTAGCTGTTTATTAAAATTCTGTAACTGCCTCACAGGTGTGATATTTGTAAACAAATGCCCATTCTTGGAAACTGATCATTTTGTTTGTTGGATGGAATTCACTTTGCTAATGTAGATTAATTTTTGGTGAAGGTAGAGTTCTGAAAAATGTAAGTTTGTATTATTTTTGTATTTAAGGCAGTGGGGCACAGGGAAATGGACAATTAACCCTGTTAATAGGGGTTGATTGTAAGCAGGCTGGTATTAAAAACCTTTTTTGTGCTTTACTAAAATGTCTCCCTTTTATCCTCAATATGTTAAATAATCTAGTTTGATAAACGAAATTAAGCAGCAAAAGTCAAACTTAGACTCTTTGAAACCTGGATGGATTTTTAGTTGCACTTAAGTCTAATTTAGGACAAATTAAATCCTTGATTTGCGACACCTGTTTTATCCAGATTAAGGAGGAGTTGGGGATTATTCATGTCCTCCTGATGCTGCCATTAAAATGGAATAAAAATAAAACAGAAATATTTTAAATCCCTTTTCCCCCTCAATCTGGAAATTCATTCTCTGCATTTAACCCATCCAATGAGGGGTAGTGCGCTGCCATTGTTTGGCACCTGGGGGGGAGAAGTGTGGGGATAAGGGTCTCGCTCAGGGACCCAAAGTGGCAGTCTGTGAAAATGAGTGGAACCTCCAGGACCTATGCACAATGCTCCAACCACTAGGCCACCACTCCCCCTGTATACAAAAAACTGAGTTTTCTGTTTTAGTATGCAGTTGTCATATCCAAAACGCAAAGATTATTTATTAAGTAATTGGCTAATATTCCCATGATAGTCTTTAATCAAAACTAAGATATAGTTTCTCTCAAATACAATATACCAGATGTGTAATCTCACATCATTTTACATAGATGAAGTTGCATTTAATTTATCTATTTTCTTTGTTGTATAACGGCCATTTTATTAGATTATATAAAGAATGTTAAGTTTCTTCTTTGCTTAAAGTCCTTCAGAATTATTATATATTCGCAAAAGACAGATTCATAGTTAAAAGGTAATAATAAAGAATGAAATCAAATGTTGGCTCGGAATAGCAAACGCGAGCACGTTATTACCTGCTTTTTCCAAAAAGTTTCAGAACTAATTGAGATTTTGCTCAAATTTAAAGCATGTTTGCTGTTAAGTTTATAGAAACCCCTATTTCATTACTGTTGAACAGATTCGTGAGGTTGTTTTTTTTTAGTAGATCCCAGGAAGGCCTCCTGCTGCTGCTTTATATCCAAACACCAACCACCAGCTGTTGGATGACAGAATGTTCTTAGATGTCCTCCCAAATAGATCCGTTTAGTTAAATCAATTGTCTAAAAAGACAAAGATTAATACAATTTGAGTGTTTTTGTTCTTGATTTTTCTGAAGCTGGACTCCTGAACATGTGCTGCATGTAAAGTTTTGGTTCCCTATGGTTATATTTTGAAGTTGGGTTGAAAAGTAACTCACTGTTTCATCAAATCCAAGCGGCGCTCTTATGATGCTAATGCTGAGTGTAAATGCTGAATGTTTTGTTTCTTTAGATGTCATCAGCATTGAGAAGACTGGTGAGCACTTCCGTCTGATTTATGATGTGAAGGGACGTTTCACCGTCCACCGCATCACTGCAGAGGAGGCCAAGGTAGGATCATTTACTGTCAAATGACCATAACCCCCAAAATATTTCAGCTTTTGTTTAGAATACATTCTCAAAGGTTTTTCTTCTTTTCCCCCTCCCTTCTCACTACAGTACAAGCTGTGCAAGGTGAAGAAAATCCTGATCGGCACCAAAGGAATCCCCCATCTGGTGACCCACGATGCTCGCACCATCCGCTACCCCGACCCCCTCATCAAGGTCAACGACACAGTCCGCATTGACCTGGAGACCGGCAAGATCACAGATTTTATTAAGTTTGATACTGGTAGGTTTCATTCAACAAATGGGCTCCTTCAGAATACTTCAAATCATAGCCCCTGTTCTTTCGCTTTTCGTTGGGCAAAAAGTCGGAGCATAGTCCAGAGCTGTGCTGAACCCAGAGCTTATTAATGATGCTGGTTAATTTGAGCCTTACAGCGTCTTGCTTCCTTCGCTTAGCTCCTCCCTTCCTGGTAGTGTTAATTATGGCCCCTACTGACGCTTGGGCTAAAGTCTCCTTACAGATTTGAAATATTGAGAAGGAGCCGCAGACCAGTGTTCCTTTCCTTACGTGTCTTAATCTCTGACTTGCTGCCTCCTGTTTCCAGGTAACCTGTGCATGGTGACCGGTGGTGCTAACTTGGGGCGTATTGGCATCATCACCAACAGGGAGCGCCACCCTGGCTCCTTTGACGTGGTTCACGTTAAGGACAGCACAGGCAACAGCTTCGCTACCAGGCTCTCCAACATCTTTGTCATTGGCAAGGTGAGCAAATTCAAACTGGTCTCTGTCCTCCTCTTGGGTCGGTTTGATGAATTTCCTCCTCACTTAAAATAATGGGTAATTGAATTTCATCACTTGGTCGATCAGTCAGGACTCTTTAGGTCCATCAGTCTGGAGCAATGATGATCATTAGAGTTTTGATCAGCAATGAAAAAAACTACTAATTCCTCTAAGAAGTTCTGAGCTCTCAGACTAACAGGTTTACTGTCTGCAGCAGAGGAGATGAAGTAACTGTTATTGATTCTTCAGAAAGTTTGACACCTGAAGTTGAACACATCAAGTCGTCTGTTTTATGAAAACCAGAAGTTAAACTTAAATGTTTAGGATGTTATTCTGCCAGTGGAAAATGATCAATATTAGAGCTGCAAGATTCATTGAATTGTAGTTATAAGTGTGTAATAACACACTTGTGTAGCACTGGTTTATTACAGTACCTTTAAGCTGCTTTTCTTCATGAATCTAGCTTTAAACTCTTAATGGTAATCGTTATCGCTCCTATTGGGTGTTTCTGTTGACTACGCACCTTGACTAGATCTTGGTAACATAGATGCTGAAGGTCAGGGGTCGTGGTGGGTTTTTGAAAGTTCCTTAAGGTTCCTTAGAGAACATTTTTCACAAAAATAAAACAGTTGAAACTTAAACTTTCCACTTGGGTCCTGGATAGAGAAAATTGACAAAAGAAAATGTTTTTTAAATCTTAAATGCTGATACTTTTCTTTTACAATCTTGGTATAATTACTGCTGTGCCTGGGTTGATGTGTCAGCTAAAGGCCCTTTTTAACAGTCTCTATACTCCCGTTAATGATAAATTGATTAGTAAAGTAGTAAACGATTTCAATAATCGGTTAATCAGATGTTTTTGAAGCCCTTTTCCTGGTGGAAAAAGTAAAGTGGAAGTAAATGTTCATTAATAAGCTGATTCATAGTCAATAGTGGGGAAATTACTTTAATGTGCTGCAGCTCCATTTTCTGCTTCTGTTAAACATTTTAGCAGCAACTGTTAAAAACCTGTTATTTTGCTCAATAATAAAAATGATACTTTGATTTAAATTTGGCAAATCTGGACTATCATACATTCATGACTGATTGTTCCTAAAAATAAACGAGATAACCAAAGTTTAGCTCAAATAAAGCAATATGTCTTGGTTTGTTGTCGTTCCTAAAAGGTTCCTTTATATCCGAGGTGTCACTCGTTTTCATATTTTTGCAGTCTTTAAAGGACCGGTTGCAGCTAATTAAATGAAACTACTCACTTAATTTGAATCATAGTTTTACTCACATTAATTTAGAAACTTCCTACGTTTAAAATGTCATTTTTCTCTAGTTGGATATATGCATGATTTGGCTCTGGAAGGCCAGGCTCTTCTGTGCGGTTGCTTTAGACCCTTCTCTAGCATATTGTAAAGCTGCTGCTAATTTAATTGCTCATGTTTCAGTTGCATCATGAAAGCCTTTAACTGATCCAGATGTTTCTGACCTGTCCTGTTTGGTTTCAGGGCAACAAGCCGTGGGTGTCCATGCCCAGAGGAAAGGGAATCCGTCTGACCATTGCAGAGGAGAGAGACAAGAGGCTGGCCGCCAAGCAAGGCAGCAGCTAAACAGACAGCCTGACCCATGGTTTTCAAATAAAATGTTATTTACTAAACAAGCACTGTTGTGCTGATTTATTACACACTTCATGTAGTTTATAGGTTGCTATTAATGTGCCAATTAGAAACCATGAATCCTGGTGTGAGCAATAAAATATATATATTTTTTTAAATCATGAAAGATGCCAGGGGATCATGCTGCATCAGAAAACATGTTTACCAACTCAAAGTTAAGAAAGGCATCATTAAAAGTTGTAAATACGCATAATGCTGTTAATGGATAGATATTACAGCTGTCTCTGTAAAAACCCTTAATGCAACCTGAGTTCATTTTATTTAAAATAAAATGTTTAGATTGATTGTTCCAGCTGTAGCTAAATGCTTTTAGATTCCCATTATTGGTGTCGCCTATAGGTGCTGGAAGCCCCAAATTCATCTTCTCAGGAAATCTTTTTTTAAAGATGCTTAGAACATGAAAGACAGGTTAAACAGTAATGGGAGGATTGTATGTGGAGAGCTTGGAGCAGACTGAACCCAGAGCCTTGAGATCCTCTACAGTCTATAGATGGGTTACAGATGTTTAGATCCTGTGTAGTCATTAATGAACCAGTCAACCTCAGAGGCATACAGTCATATGAATAGATTGGGCACCCCTATTAATCTTGATTATTTTCTAAATATTTGGGTCTTGTCAACAGCTATTTCAGTTTGATTATATCTAACTGAAGGACACCGTAAAGATTTCAGAATTGAATCGAGGTTTATTGGTCTAACATTGTGCAATATGCATTGAAACAAAATTTGACAGCTGCAAAAATACTGGCACCTCCGCAAAAAAGACGTCAATATTTTGTAGATCCCTTTGCTAAAACAGCCTCTAGTCGTTTCCTGTAGCTTTTAATGAGCTTCTGGATCCTGGATGAAGGGATTTCTGACCAGTCTTTGCAAAACAATTCCAGGTCAGTTAAGTTTGGTCACCGAGCATGGACAGCCTGCTTCAAATCATCCCACAGATGTTCAATGATATTCAGGTCTGGGGATCTGGAAGGCCGTTCCAGAACATTGGAATTGTTCCTCTGCATAAATGCCTGAGTAGATTTGGAGCAGTGTTTTGGATCATTTTGCTGGAACATCCAACCCCGGCGTAACTTGAACTTCACTGATTCTTGAACATTATTCTCAAGAATCAGCTGAGTGGAATCCATGCGACCCTCCGCTTTAACAAGATTCCCAGTGCCAGCATTGGCAACGCAGCCCCGAAGCATGATGGAACCTCCACCAAACTTTACAGTGGGTAGCAAGTGCTTTTCTTGGAACGCAATTTTTTTCCCGCCATGCATAATGCCTTTTTTTATGAACAAACAACTCAATCTGTTTCATCAGTCCACAGGACCTTATTCCAAGATGAAGCTGACTTGTCCAAATGTGCTTTTGCAAACCTCAAATGATTCTTTTAGTGACATGCTTGCAGAAAAGGATTGTCACATCTCCCATAAAGCTTCTCCTGGTGCAAAGAGCGCTGAATTGTTGAAAGATGCACAGTGACACCATCTGCAGCAAGATGATGCTGCAGGCCTTTGCAGGTGGTCTGTGGGTTGTCCTTCACCATTCTCACTATGTTCTGGGCTTAACAAGAACTGTCCCTGTGGTTTTCCATTTGCTTACTATGTTTCTCACAGTGGAATCTCTGAGACAATTTTTTTGTATCCTTCCCCTGAACAACTATGTTGAACAATCTTTGTTTTCAGATCATTTGAGAGTTGTTTTAAGGTGCCTATGATGAATCTTCAGAGGAGTTTCAAACAGGAGAAAAACTTGCAACTGGCCACCTTAAATACATTTTCTCATGATTGGATGGACCTCGCTATGAAGTTCAAATCTTAATGAAGTTACCAAACCATTTTTGTGTTTCAGTAAGCCAGCAAAAAGTAGTTAAGGGTATTCAAATCAATAAAATGATTAGGGTACCCACATTGTTTGTACCTGTCAAGTTTTGTTTTAATACATATTGCACATTTTCTGTTAGTCCAATAAACCTCAATTCAATACTGAAATATTATTTTACCATCAGTTATTAGTGTTTGGCTGATGCCAATGTTTGGCCCCAAAACCCGGGACCTGGCTCTGCAGTATTGGCCGATACAATCTGTTTGAAATTGATGTGTGTGTGTAGATATGTAGAACTGCATACTACTTGGATGTGAAATAATTGCCATCATAGCTTTGTCAAGCTGCTGCCTACCTTTGTGAAGCAGGAAACAGATTAATACAAAGTGAATCCAGTAGAACAGAAGAAAAAAAATCATCCACAAATGCTTCAATTTTGGTTCTAAAACATGGCTCCCAAATCCTAACACAGCCCCCCCTCCATCATGACTAATCTTCATTGCCATCTCTGCCTTTCATAAAGCCATATGAATGTTGCCTGCTTCCAGTAAAGCTCATCGCCCCCCAGCCACCGCAGGAAATGCTCACGCGTGATCACTTGTTGCTTTTGCATTTAACCCCACCTGTTTCCCCCACTGGCCCGGAGAGGGTTTCATCTGTAATAAACAAACTTAGCAGAAAGTATTTTTAATTAGATATCTGGTACTTCCATGAGCTCTAGATTTAGATTGGCTTCATTTGAAGAAGTTAATCAGACAAGTTAATGTTTTAGGATAATTTTCAGCTCAAAAGTTTGGGTCCCATTGACAGGTATTTGAAAATGTTCTCATTTCTGTTGTAATTCTGAGGAGAAAAGTGAAAAATGCGTATAGCATTTTAAATAATAAAACTTGCATATGTTTATAACCATGTATATTTTTGAAATTATCTTTTTTTTTTTTTAACAATGGGTGCATAATCTACCAGCATTAGCGTTGGTGTGACGTTACCCAGTGCTTAACATTCTGTTTCTGTCTGGCCTTGTGACAACAAACGCAAGACTGCGGGAGACTAACTGAAGCAGAAAAGCAAAGTAAGCTGTGTGGTTGATTTTTTATGGCATCAGAATGGTAGGTAACTGTATAATAAAGGTTATAATGGATAGGATATAGTTATAATAGTACACCCTGGACAGGTCGCCAGTCTGACATTCAACTATACAAACCCACAAAAAAAGCCAAATAACCTAACAGTCATGTTTTTTTGACAGGGAGTATACAGAGGAAAGCCATGCATGCACGGGGACAACATGCAAACTCCATGCAGAATAAGGAATATAGCCAGGAATCGAACCCATAACCTTCTTTCTGCAAGGCAACAGTGCTACAAACTGCACAACCATGAAATAATAAAATACATTCTTTAACAAACGCATCCTTCCATATCTCTTCCCCCACCACCATATTTGACATTTATCCCTACATCTTATGCTCTGATTCTCCTCCTCTCTCGCTCTGCCCCCTGCCTTCAGTACCCGTCCATATGGTGACCGCTGGGTTGCAGCATGCTCAAGCGCTGCAGAAACCTGGCCTGGCAAACACCACCACAGTGTGTGTGTGTGTTGTGGCTTTCATGTTCTCTTGCCAGGGTGTGTATTGGTGCAGCGAATGGGCTTGAGATGAATATGACACGTCTAACTCTGTGACTTTCATTTGCAGCCCTGCCTCTCTAA